CCAAGAGGTCCCAGGTATCCACCAAGGGACACAAGAGGGATGGAGACACCTGGATCCATGTCTCCAAGAGGTCCCTGGTGTCCACTAAGGGACACAAGAGGGATGGAGACACCTGGATCCATGTCTCCAAGAGGTCCCAGGTATCCACCAAGGGGCGCAAGAGAGATGGGGACACCTGGATCCGTGTCCCCAAGAGGTCCCAGGTATCCAGCAAGGGGTGCAAGAGAGATGGGGACACCTGGATCCGTGTCCCCAAGAGGTCCCAGGTATCCACCAAGGGACACAAGAGGGATGGGGACACCTGGATCCGTGTCTCCAAGAGGTCCCAGGTATCCAGCAAGGGACACAAGAGGGATGAGGACACCTGGATCCACATCTCCAAGAGATCCCAGGTGTCCACCAAGGGACACAAGAGGGATGGAGACACCTGGATCCGTGTCCCCAAAGAGACACATGGGGATGCAGGATACCTGGATCCATGTCCCCATTTGTTTCTAAAGGGATATAGGGTGATGGGGACAGCCGGATCCATGTCCCCAAAGGGACGCATGGGGATGGGGGGGGACACCTGGATCCATGTCCTAAAGGCTTTTCCATCACCCCCAGTGTCCCCAGAGGGACACAGAAGGGAAGGGGACACTGGGATCTGTGTCTCCACGGGTTCCCTGGCGTCCCTTCAGGGACACAAGAAGGATGGAGACACATGGATTCAGGTCCCCATGGGTTCCCCATCATCCCCAGGGGCACATGGGGAAACGCAAGGGACGCGGACATCCAGATCCATGCCACCAAGGGTACCCTGGTGTCCCTGAAGGGACACATGGTGATGCAGACACCCTGGATCTGTGTCCCAAAAGGTTCCCCATCATCTCCAGGGGGACATGAGGACACAAGAGGGATGGGGACACCCGGATTTGTGTCCCCAAAGGAACACAAAAGGGATGGAAACACCTGGATCCATGTCTCCAAGGGTTCCCCATTGTCGCCGGGGGACAGAGGGACACAAGAGGGATGGGGACACCCTGGATCTATGTCCCCGAAGGCTTCCCTGGTGTCCCCAAAGGGACACAGGAGGGACGGGGACACCTAGATCCATGTCCCCAAGGGTTCCCCACTGTCCTCAGGACAGACATGGGGACACAAGAGGGACAGGGACATGGCAGATCCATGTCCCCAGAGGGATATGAGGACACAAGGGAATGGGGACAACCTGGATCTGTGTCCCCAAGGGTTCCCTATTGTCCCCAAGGGGACATGGAGACACAAGAGGGTGGGGAGACCCTGGATCTATGTCCCCAAGGATTCTCCTGTGTCCTCAGAGGGACACAAGAGGAATGGGACAGGCCAGATCCATGTCATCAATGGTTTCCCATTGTCCTCAGGGGGACATTGGGGACACAAGAGGGATGCAGACACCCTGGATCCATGTCCCCGGAGATGGATTGGAGATGAACTATGCTGGGGAGGGGGCAAGGTCCTGGCCGTGCTCTGGACCCTGCTGTCCCCAAGGGTTCCCCAGTGTCCCCAGGGGCTATGGGGACACAGGAGGGAGGGGGACATTCGGATCCAGGTCCCCAGATGTTCCCTGGTGTCCCCACGTGCGACACTGGGACATCAGAGGGATGGGGACACCCAGTTCCGTGTCCCCAAGGGTTCCCCAGTGTCCCCAAGTGGACACAGGAGGAACAGGGACACCTGGATCCATGTCCCCAAGGCTCCCTGGTGTCCCCAGAGGGACACAGGAGGGACAGGGACATTCGGATCCATGTCCCCAAGGGTTCCCCAGTGTCCCCAGGTGGACACAGGAGGAACAGGGACACCCGGATCCATGTCCCCAAGGCTCCCTGGTGTCCCCAGAGGGACACAGGAGGGACAGGGACATTCGGATCCATGTCCCCAAGGGTTCCCCAGTGTCCCAGGGGGACATGGGGACACAGAAGGGAGGGGGACATTCGGATCCATGTCCCCATGCGTCCCCAAGCAGACACAATAGGGACGGGGACACCTGGATCCATGTCCCCAAGGGTTCCCCAGTGTCCCCAAGGGGACACAGGAGGGACAGGGAGGGGGACATCTGGATCCATGTCCCCAAGCGGTCACGGGGGCACGGGGGCCACCCGGCTCCGCTGCGGGGAGGGGACGGGAGGACCCACCTGGCGTGTCACCGGAGGCCGAAGGTCCCGTGACAAAGGCAGGGCCGGGCCGAGCTACCTGACGGACAGCTAGGACGAAGAGAGACACGGCGGCGTCACCGGGCCGCCGGCCTTGGGGTCA